CTGACACCTTTATCACAAGTTTTACAAAATGCGAGAACTCGCCTTACAACTCTTTCTAGTTTTCATAAGACACCGACTCTTGGTATTGCAAAAATAAATAGTAGCATGCTTCAGGAAGTGAACAAAATTGTACATGAGTATTTAGCTCCCTGTGTCACAATGTTAGGGGGTTTTATGGAGCAACAAATTAGAGTTCCTTTAGTTAATAGTCCTCTTGATACTGCAAAAGCTCTTAGAATGGCAGAAAATTCTGGCGCAGTTGGTGTCTGGGCATTGTTTTCTCTTGATAGTAATGACATTAAATACATATTATCATCAAGAAAAAACGAAGCCTTTATTATTCAAATTACAAAATTTATCGAAGGTACTCTTAGTGAAAACATCAAAAGAAAGCGTCATGATTCTGAGCCAACTAGTTATGATGCAAAACTACAGTTTCTATTAGAGTTAGGACTAAATAGAACAATCACATGCAGCAATGATTACATCAGCTATTCATTGGAGAGAGAATTGGTCAGTATTTGTAAAGAGCAGGGCATTTTCATTTCAACCAGTGTTGACTCTGTCATTCATAACTGGAGTACTCGATTTAAGGACACTGGCCTAGCTCTTGTTCCTCCTGCTTATCGTCCTCTTCTAGCTCGCTGGCTGATTTGGTCCTTAAATATTCATCAATTACGAGAAGGTCTAGCTAGTTATACTACAGTTGGTGTTATTGGACTTGTTAATTCTGGAAAATCAACTCTTGTTAATAAAGTTTTTAATGTCGAGGTATGTGAATAAGTGTATTTATTTATTACCTGATAGTATTACCTTCTAATAGACCATACAAGGCACAAGTCAAGGAGCTCGTACTACAGTCCCTTTTATATATAATTTAGACTCATCAGTTGAAGGATTGAGTGTTATTGATTTCCCTGGAGTTGATGATAGAGATGAGTCTATTGGTGGTCTGGCTAAGTTACTTGTGGGCCTTGCACAAATTGTCATCTTTGTTTGTGGATATGAGTTAGTAGCATTCATATAATTTGTATATTGCAAGTTTTCATGCATACTAAGCTATAAATAATAAAAATATAAAGATCAACCTGTAGCTTTAGGAACCATACTATACTTATGTGTGATGATAAATTTTAGCTAGATAAAAATTACCAGTCTTTTGTCAAATTAGGAGATTTCATACTAGCTCTGCTATGGATTGGATGAAGATTTTTAAAAAAGATTTTGCTGATACTCCAATTCTTGTTTGCCTGACCCATGCTGACAGACTCTATGAAGACAATTGTGAGAAAGACATGATTCCAGAATGTCCAAAGAACAAAATTCAAGTGCTGAGAATTCAATTTGAAGATGAATTACAGGTGATATAGCAAATAAAACAAACATTTTAATTGTTAGTCTTTTACAGAAAATTGTTGGGGATACTTCAAGAACAGAAAAGTGTCTTATCAAATTTTGCTCCTTAACACAAACCAGACATTCTCTATTAAATGATGAAAGAGGCCGTCAGTCAATGAGGAAAGTTGGCATATTCACTCCAGAAGATATTGGGGAGTGGGTCAAAAATGCACTAAAACGTGACATACAACAGGAGGAACTAGCTGATAAATTTTCAAAATTATTATTAAAATTCTAATTCAAACTTTCTTAAGTTGAAATTTTATTTTTGTAATTTTTTACTGAGTTATATATAATTTTAGGAAAGTTTTTAATTTAGCCTTATAAGGAAATTTTAAAATCAATTGACCAATCAGATG